CATTATTGCATAAAAAAAACAGTTCCAGTCTGTTTCTTATCTAGCTGAAGTAACCAAATTTAGTCTAGTTTATTGTTGTTGTTTTTGTGGAATTGTTCACAAGTGCTGCGATTGTGTGTTTTTTTTTTTTTTCCTGTTAGGGAGGATAGGGAGAAAACAAACATCAACTCGGAGAGAAAACTAGATAGGGACAGCTCCCCCTAGCAGCTTACATAAGCAGATAAAGTCCAAGACAGCAGGGCATGATTGAGTTGAATTGGATTGCAAACTTTGCACAAGTTCATAAAATAAATAAAAACAGCATTTACATTATGTTTATATGTCACTTTTAGTCATACCAACAGTTTCACATAATTTTACCTCACAATTTTAGGATATAGTGAGTGTAAACCATGAGTCAGCAAAAAATAGAAAAAATAATATTTCAACATGTTATGTTAAATTTGTAGATATGTAGCATTGCATGTGCAGTCCGGTAGGGAAAACACAAAAACATATATGCAGCAGATATTAATGTACAAACATATACATTTTATATATATTGCAACTTGTTCTGTTTATTTGTATATTTATTTTCAATTCCTGTATTTTGATCTCTTTTCAAGCTTTCTGTAGAAGTTATGCTGTAGTTGCTTGGAAATGTTACTTGGTGCTTTTACAAGGGAACCATTATGGAGTTTACACACACACATGTAGAGAGGGTTGCTGGTACCATAGCCCCCATTGCTCACTCACTACACATACCTTTTCTTCTAAACATCCTCCTTTGGCTGCTTCGTCACATGCTTCTATTTATACATAATTTTGAATATATATTACCCCAGTGCCACCTTGGAAAAACACAGATTTTCCCCTCTCACTTACCCCATCTTTGAATTGCACTCATTTGATGTTATCCCCCGCCTCTCCTGTTTTAAAGCAGTGAGAATTTTTCCTCCTTTGTATGGAGACAGAATCATCAAAGGCCTGCTTACTACAGAGAAACAGGTACCAATATCACTCTGCGGTGCAATAATGCAGCTAAGTGGGACCATATTGACACAATATAGCAGCACAAACAGCAGATTACTTTCTCACACACAGATGTCCATGTACGCACAGAGCTCCCACATCAAAATGTTTGGCCATTTATTGCTCAACCAGCACCCATTTTTCATATCTGTCATGGTCCACGCATTCTCCCTCTGCTTTCTTTTTTCTGTACCAGACAATCTTTTCTTCCCATATTTGGAGCCAGTGGAGAATTTTGCATAGTTGTGCCTTTTCCCTGGATTCTGTCTTTTCATCAGTGGCTGCCTTTCCTTTTGAATTGAACCAGATTAATTTACAGCCAGACAAAGATACACTCTCTGTGTGCGCTGGAGAGGGAAGGCAGTGAGGGACATACGACGTGTGCACTTTATGATGGCCATCATTGGCACACAGAACCCTCTTTTTAAAAAATTAATCAGCCACATAATTCTGTCTGCAGTGCTTCACATTTTATATGTATCTTTGCATCCCTGTGCATAAGTAAAAAGCATCTCTAACTAGATTTTACAAAGATTTTTTATGAATTAATGATTTTTCTCAATGAAGGGATGGCTGCTTATTCTGACAGAAATTACCCTAATGAAGTATTTATAGACTGTAACCTAGAGTTCTTGCTAGAAGTCAGTGTTTCTTTCTACCCAGACCACATCAACAATACGGCTCAGTCTCTGCACCACCAGGCACATGTGTTTGTGTGCGTCCAGGCAGACGGCAGAAAATGACTGCAGATCTCTATCTTTCTGCATTTAAGTCTAGAGTGCTCTGATTAAACTCAACCACAGAACAATTTCCCTGTTGTAAAGCCCTCCGATTAAACCACTGATTTTCAGCACCGTGTCAAGTTATTTTGCCATGGCAACACTGATTACAATGTTATCAGCCTTTCATATTTATATGCTGTTATTATTTTTTTTAATCTTGATTCTTGAAAAGTTACATTTTCAGGGGGCTTTGAGCTTGTGCTGTGTTCTTGTCTAATGAAGTATTTGACATTTTGGTTTATTTTAGAGGTTACTGTCTATACATGTTGTATCTATGTCACATCTTGTCATTTGACTGTGACATCCAGTAATTATGAGATTTCATCTTTACCTACAACACCAGCTGATCTCTGGCACATGTGTTTACGGTCCAGAAACTGCTCCTGCTGTTGCAAACAGATGTGTGTTTGTGTGATAGCCTACGTTCCCTAAAATCTTTGTTATTGCAAGCTATGCTACAAGGCAAAAGAGCTCCGTTTACGGCACACATTTACAATTTATCAAATAAATGGGATGCCTTCATGTGGCCTGGGCCCGGTTCTCAGGCAGAGCAGCGTAGTTTTCCACTGGAATAACAGCCTCTGAACAAGCAGTCCATTGTAGCCGCAGCCAGCACCGGGACCCCCAAGGTGCGAATTAATGATTGACCCCTGATGTAATCAGGATAAATAGCTCCCCGTAAAAGAGAAAGAGATGGCAGGAGGAACATAGAGAGAAAGAACAACATAAGGAGGCAGGGAGGGAAAGGCACTATCTGGCCCGGGTGTTTTTTAAGAAGCCCTCAGGGAGTCGAACCTAACATCTCTTTCTTGGTCTTTCGAGACCCTAAGCTAACATACAGCTGTTTAAAAGCAGCTCAGTCGTCAGATTTTAGAATCTGCACCTCCTCCTCTTCAGCCTCTCCCTGGCCCCTTTCATTATTTTCCTGCTTTACTTTTTCGCATCTGTAACTTTTTTCAGCATGGTCCACTTCTCTTACAGGGGGAGGCAGAAGGAATCAGAGCTGGTCTCTATTGGCAAATTATCTAAAAATGTCCCATTTTTCTTCAGGAATTTTTTTCCCCTTATGAATCAGGTCGATTACAACTGAGAGTTAAGTGTTTAATATCACACTGGGTCTGCCATTCCTTCCTCACTTTACAGCTTTATGTCTCTCACAAAAGATGTTTTGTTTATCCAACAAAATTTAAGAGTTTTTTTTCTCTTACTTCTTGTTACTTAATTATTTGTTGTAACAATCTGTGCATTTTTTTGGAGGGAACATAGGCTCCTAAAGGCAAATGTTAATGAATTTTCCAAGGCTGTCTTTCTTGCTTGTCAAAATTGCTCTCAGTGGGTCAAGTGCCAGTAAGAGCAGGATTGTGAAGAGGGAGAAAGAAAGAAAAAATAACTGTTTAACAGCCTGAAAACACTTTTGATTGAGCATATGGAGCAGCAGATAGGGCTGAGTTATAAGACTTTAATTGATCTGTGAAAAAGTGGAAGCTACTTCTGGCTCACATGTTCCGATACTTAATTGCACGCATGGTCTGAGCCCCTGTGAAACAGTGATCATTAAATAATGTGGTTATTTTCCAGCCAAAATCAGTGGATGACGCAGAATCAGTCATAAAAGGCTGGAGTTTACTGCTGAAGCTTTATATGATACGTTTCCCGGATCAGCTGCAGGTTTGCCAGGAGCTAGCAAGCCCTTGTCGCATGCGATCATAGTTTCAAGTTTCACATTCTTAATGTACATGTCAGTTAATTTAACAGCTTACACTGTCCACATCTGTCCCCGGGCACAAACCCAAATATTTAGATATAATATATAAGAACCAAAGTTCTGATAGACTGGACAAAGAATAGTGCAATTTTAGTGATGATATTTTTTAAATATCACTTACTTGATGAGCTCATTTAATTGTTTTACTTAGGGAACTTACTGGCCATAGTGATTCCCTCATCACCTTATAAAGTATAAAGAACAATGGTTTAGAATCTTAGACAAGAATAGAAATCATTGTTCAATCTAATTCTTTAATGATGCATCTATTACAACAACTTTAAGAAAGATTCAACCCGCAATGTTCGCTGTGACCCAAAAAACTGTCATGTGCTTACAAGCACATTTTAAAATGTCATGTTGCAGTTCCAGCTTGAGCCTGGGAAGTGTTGGCAGCCTTGGCAGCAGGCTGGATGGAGGTTAACAGAGGGAGAGAGCTTGATTGAAACCACTCCTGCTGTAATTTTGGGCCTAGTTAGCCCGCTGATTGCCAGGCCCTGTGTTTAGATAGTAAAACTGCAGTGGTGCTTTGACTACAGACACCAGGATCTGTCCAGAATGAGAAACAAGAAGACACACATACTGTAGATGGATTGAGGCAATCACACACACACACACACACACACATACATACACACACACACACGTATGCACCCATGCGCATGTACACAAACACACACAAACTTTTTACAGACAATGACTAAGTATTGAACCTGGTAGACTGGTGTATGAAAACTGTCAAGTACAACACAAGCCACATTTTATGAACATCCACACACATATTTCATCATTTTCTCTCATAATTAAATGGTCGGATCCTCGAGCACAGACACAATCATACAGTCTGTGTGTGGGCGGGACAATAATGAAAAGTGACCAGGGTAACCAGGTCATCAATGGACACAGCCATTATTTGTAAAAATGAGTCCTGGCACAAACAGTGACTGTGATGAAATTGAGAACTTTACCCATCAACCACTTGGCTTCCCTAGAGCTACTCCTCAATTGGCTCTTCTAACATAAATCACAAATCTGTTAGCGCAACAAGCATCATCTGAAGGCTTTAACTTGATGGATAGGTATTATTTTCTCATTGCGCCATGTGTTTTTAACAGTTTGCAGTTTGTATAATGAAACTGTACTATTTTTTTTTGTGATTTAGGTACAAAAAGCATATTTTGGAAGTCCACAATGTCTACTGAGTATGGAGATATGACTTTAGACATCAGTACCTTAGACATCAGTACTTTCATTTCACACTTGATCCAGTTTGTTAATGCAATGGAGTGTTATGGCAAAATAATACATAATTGTCTGTAACCCTGAAAACAAAAGATATAAAAGCTAGGGCATTGTTGTTTTATAAATGTTGCAAAAATGTGTTATGTTGTATCTCTTTTGCCTTTGATTAACAATAGCTGTGTTTGTGTCTGGACTCTTAGATGACAGTGAGCCAGTGGACAGCATGTACGACACAGAGGCCGACCTGCAAGGTTTAGCGCCGAGCAGTGGCGGTGGTGCCGACAGCCCAGAAGATGATGCAGATGACAGCGTCATCAACATGTCTCCCCTGCCTTCACCGACCCCTTCCCATCAAAACAACAACCACCACCACCTGCTGCACCCCCACATTTATGCCACCCACCACCACCACCACCTTCACAACAACAGCAACAGCAGCAGCAACGACCAGGACTTCACCACACCCAAAGAGGGCTCGCCCTATGAGGCACCCGTCTACATTCCAGATGACATTCCCATTCCCAGCGAACTGGAGCTGCGGGAGTCCTCTGTGCCCGGGGCTGGCCTGGGCGTTTGGGCCAAGAGCCGAATTGGTGCGGGTGAAAGGTTTGGTCTGCACAGTATGCTGCATCATGGGGCCATGGGCAAAGACAGCTCCTTTGGATGGGAGGTAGGAACCAGCCTGGCTTCTTTGTACTTTGTCTTTGTTCTTTGGTTGCCTACTGTTTTTGTCTTTGTTTCATTCCTATACAACCCCCTGTAACTATTGACTGTCCTCTTAATTGGCACAAACACAGTTTTATAGTAAGAAAAATACACACACATAAAGTAACATATAAACGAGTGAGAGAAACATTAAAGTAGCTCTGGACAGGGTAAGTGAATGAACAAGGCACTCTTCTGTCACACTTCACATTTCCAACCATCGGCCTTTATTCACAGACGATGTTATCGTCAGCAGAGATGTCCATTCCATTTGTATCCCCCTTGTGATTGGACCTCATCTTTGATCATGCACATACATCATTGGCAATCACACACATACAAAAAAAACACACTCATCCAGAATTCCGGCAGCACAGCAATGTCAGATGGAAAAATCTGGTTGATTAGTGGAGGTATCAGCTTTTCTGGGCGTCGGACTGAGCGAGCACCCTCATTTGGTCACGCCACCTGATATGGAAATGGAAGAAGCATGGCCCAATGCATTTGCGGCATATTGAACTATTAATTTTCATTTCAACATGACATTAAAGGATATGGAAGTTGCTTCAGTAAGCTCATTAGGGGGGAAAAAACTGATCTCTGTCTCACTCTCTCTGTCTCCATCTCCCCTTACTTATACGCTTAATCAGAGATGAAATTTACTGGCCTGCTTTTAATTTTACTGACTCCTCAACTCTTCACATTAAGGGGGTTGGTCTTTCACATGTTCTAGAGTAACATTTTTATGTTACATGGAAAATAGCTTGAACATGTAACTTTGTGTGACATCATATTAGAATGGACACATGGTGCTTAAATGAAACAGCTGATGTACATTATGGCAACTCTATACATTTTTTGACAAATTTCAACACTTTTAACAAATATGTTATATTATATATTAGCATTTGGACTTAATAAAAAGAACAGATGAAATTAAAGCGTTAACTTGTAGAGTAGGACATGCTTAATGTTCAGCTTAAATTCTATATTTATTATTATATTTTGCACTGCAGAAATTACACTAAATTTATATTAATCAAACCATTACAGATACCCACTACTGATGCAGTTATTTTTAAGAAAACAGAAACAAACTGAGTTTAACTACAATAAAAAGATAAGATATTCATTTTTCAAAGCTTGCCCTCATCACTTGGTTTAAGTAGAATGAGAAGATAGTTTAGACGTTTAGGAAGCTATGGAGGAAATGTTCGAGAATCCCTCATTGAAAAGGTTTTTAAGAAAGAACCTCTGAATGTTCCCTCAAGGTTCAGTCTAAAGAACTCTGGGTGGTTTCTACAGAAGGTTTCATTTCTTTTGTTATCCTTTTTCTCTTTTTTTTACAGTTGTAGGAGCATGCAGGCGATTAGAGCTCACAGGCACACGCCATGTGGCAGTGTGCCAGGCCGAACATTCTCCTTTTAAAGTTCATATTATGGCTAGCCTTTCGGGGTGCAAAGGGCACCTCTCCAAAAACTACACTCTCTCCTGTAGCTCTCATGTTTTCTCAGTTTTCCTCCTCCTCCTCTATTTCTCCCCAGACACCCGACTAATGCATATTCATCAGGGAAGCGTTAGCTCTTGGGCTTTAAGGAAAAGGGCCACCTTCATCTCCAGAGAGACATTTGTATGAGAAAATGTCCCAGCATACTCATACACATTCTTATACACAGTCAGATTGAAGTGAAGAAAGATTTTAATGAACCACTTTACAACTATAAACACATTCACACTTTTGTAACTATGGCTCCATCATTTGTGACATTTTTATAAATTTGTTTGTTTGTCAACAAGGCTTTTTATAGATATACTTGGGTGTTGCTGGGTTTTTTTTGCTTCCCTTCAATCATTGGTCACCAAAGCTGTCAAAATGGAAAGATTGATCTGTCGTCTCTTCCTCTTATACCTGAGTGGTCTTTTGAGGACTCACTCTGGTGTAGCATGGATCCTTTTTTTTTTTTAGATATCCTGTCTGGTTTGGGGCTGGAAGCCTTCAGGGGGCTCTCCTCTCCCAGACTCTTATCACAGATAGTCATAACAGTCAGCCTGTTGATAGTCATCAACAGACTCCCCTAGGAGTCCCATACGCCGCGCTCTCCACCCTTTCACTCTCTACCCCCTGTACTCATCTACTGCCTCTGGTCTTAAACAAATAGACAGGCCGAGGTGAAGGGCAGGAGTATGGCTGAGTGAAAAAAGATGTGAAAAGTGAAAAGAAATAAGGGTAAGGAGGAGTGTGATACTCTTCATGAAAATTTTACAAATGTGTGCGTGTGTAACACATCTCCTGCCAAAACAGGGGGATGTGTTATGAGAAGTAATAATTGAAGTCAACTGAGATCTCTGTGGTGTAAATGGGATCATATCTAACCAAAGACTCATACATTAATGAAATGCTGAATTAAGTTAACTGAACAATTAGATTAACTTCCTCTTAGGAAAAAAACTGTGGAGAAAAGTGTTTCTTCCCCAGAAGCTCCTAGCTGCCTCGTTTTCTATTTCATACCTACTTCATTTGAGTTGTAGACTATACTATGCAAGTGGCCCTATAATTCCCTAAAACATGAAATCACCAAAATTGCTGTAACAAGGTTTTCAGTCATCGACAATAATATATGCCATCTGCAGTTGTACACAAAACCAAAACAGTTTAACAACATTGACTGCATTTTTGTGGATTTTTTTATAAGTTATAGTGTTGGCTTTTCAAACACTGCGGCCTAAACAGTCCAACAGCTCTAACATTCACATGGCAGATGCTGTTGGAATTTGTGGATACCTTGGTTTAAAGCGATGATTGGTAGAGACACACATGGATAGCAATAAAAAAGGTGAAGTTGTAAGAGAGAGAAAGAAGAAAGAGGAAGGCAGAAAGGAAGCCTACTATTGTCTGTCCTGGGGCATCAGGGACTGCAAGAGGTGTTAACTCAGACTCATTTCAGCGAGACGGACAGCTCAATCTAAGAGCTGCTTTGCTGCAGGCCATGGTCATTCTCCTCTGTCTCAGACTCTCTCTCTCTCTCTGGGCCAGCACCAAGTCATCCATTTAAAAACCATTATGATCCCCTTTAACACAACATGATAGAACGCCAGGGCCCCAGGTCTACTATATGTGTGTATGTCTCTCTGGTTCTGCGTGTGTTGGACTGCCAACCTCTCAGGATAGGAAGGCCTTAGCGAACAGAGTGAGGTGAGGCCCTTAGAGAGGCCACGGTGGGGATCTACTGTCAGAGTGAGAGCTGCTATTATCTGGCCGGTAGATTGACCTGACTTACCCATTGATAGAGTCATGTCACAGTACAATAGCTGAGGGTATTGTGCTCTTCAAAGACTGGCATTGAATGCACTCACTGATCTAACTCCCCTGGGTGTTCAGATGTCAGCAGACAGAGCAACACATTTTTGGATATGTTTGGAGGAAGTTGTGCATGGTAATAGGGAGAATTGCCAGTTAAGCTTGCATTCTTTGTTATCCTTAAATGCGTCATACAGAAACTACTTTTATCTTTAAGGAAAGGAAAGAAAGTAAATCTCAGTCACGTTTGTATTCCTAACATTCTTGATCAAACACATGGTTCGACTGAACCCTCTTTAAGTACAATTGATGATGTTTACTCTCACTTCATCTTACCCTCTGACCATTGGGTGTATCCTTTCACCTCTGAATCATTGCTTTTGAAATTCTTGTTATTGTTTGAAGATGAACACACAACAAAGTTGCAGCACTAACTCTGGAACGATATGAGAAGATGGAGTCACTTACTTGTCAGTTTTGTTAAATTCCATGACAGCTAAACTTGTAATTACCGATCTCAGTGTTCTGCCACTGTCAGGTTAAATGATTAAATAATAGAAACACTGCATGAACCCTTTAGGGTATCTTCTGAGGCATGATAAAGAGGTTTCAAGATGGTCAGTTGTGCATTTTGTTTTCAGAAATGTGCACTCATGTAGACCTTTTGAACAAGGTCAAAATAAATGTTTTCTTACGCAAAGACATGCATCATAGAATTCATGTCAGCCCTGCAGCCATATTTATCTCTTTGTCACAGTGAACCTTGGGATGACTTTGTTGCCTGGGCAAACTTCTTTTTGTCAGTCCCTCATTCTTTTTCATGTTTACTTTTTGTGGGGTGATTTTCCATATCAGTATCATTTATCCAGCTATGTGTGGAAAGAGACAAAAAGTATGCTAGCTCTTCTGTTTACCCTGTTATTGACTTAGTGATAGACTAAGACATCTGGCAAGGCCCTCTCATGCCACCAAGGTTTCTACGTGACAGATACCTGTCCAGCCATGATATCATGCATCTCTGTCACCTCTTTAAGCCACTTAATCTCAAGATTGACAGACATTTTTCAAGTTGACACTGTGCTTCTTTTGTTCTGCACCTTATCGCTGAGCCAAGCTAACGTCCTTGTCTCTAAACTTAAGGCAGAAGAAGTCCTGGCGCACCCTGACACTTATCTGTCATGACCCACCTCTTGCCTCCTTAAGTGTTTGCTAGCCTTTTGTGTTTCGCCTGAGGTGGGCAGAAGGCCAAGTTATTTTGTTAAATATCCCAAAGGGCATTCAAGGTGCAGCTTGGAACTTGTCTGATCTGTGTGCCTTCCTCAAAAAAGGTGTTCCTTATCTCGGGGTTTGGCCCTTAAAGTGAAGGATACTTAATTGATAGGCAGAAACCTCTCTGGACTGTAAGGAGATAGTAACCAAGACAATTAATGGTAAAGATGAAGATAAAGAAAGAATATTAAGAATAAAAGAGGGTTGTTTCCTGGCAGATTTGTATTAATGTGAATTGCATTGTTCCCATGTTGAACGCCATGTTCTACTGCTTCAGTTATGAGTGCTGGTTAAGATCCAAGAAGTTAGTATTCAATAATCATTAGGACTAAATTGGCTGATCGTCCAATTTTAGAGTCAAGCAGTTTGTCTAGAGAGTAGACAATTGTATAGAAAGT